CAGGTGTTATAAAGCCACATGACCGAGTCGTTGTTTGCCAGAAGCTTGGTGATGCATCAGTGGTGAAGATCCTTGAACTTGAAGATTAGTATCAATTTTGCACCTGATGTTCATCAGAAGTTTTACAGTTCAGCAAGTCCATGATCCAAGGAAAGCATAAACAGACATGTATAGCATAAAACAGTATGCTTGACATACTGACTTACCTTCTATAAATCATATATGAGGTTGCTATCATGAAGATGCTCAGTCAGCAAACACAATGAGTGTTTGCCATTCTCAGTTGTGTAAGTCCCACCCCCTCTTTTATAACTTTGAACATGAGGTTATGAGGTTTTTAAGGTTAAAAAGTCTCAAGTACTAGTTATGGGGCTGCCCCTTTTTGGTTGTGAAAGGAACTTGATGTTTAGTTGCTCACCCTCAACTTGAACCTATGTTTTTTTTTTTTTTTTTTATCTCAAACCCAAATTAAGTATTCTTTATTTTTTTTAAAAAATAATTGAATTAAAATAAATAAATAAAATTCAAATTATTAGTTTATTAATATTTAATAACTTTAATGTATCTTTTAGAACCTCTATTGCTTACTATTATATTTTTATAAATAATAAAAATAAAAATTTTTACTTTTTTAAAAATATATTTACAATTTTTTATTTGTCAACAAAATTTTAGTATTCAAAAAATTAATTAACACCACTTCTAATTTCTAGAGTTACTCTTAATCTCGTAATTCATATAAAAATAATAATGACTCATTACCAATAATCAATGTAACGATAATTAAATTTAAGTCTCAATCATAAATAATTTTTATTGAGAACAAATTCTTAGTAAATTTATATGTAAAAATAAAATAATTCCATATTAGTAAATGATTTTTAATTCTTATGATATCAAAAATAAAAATTAGAAGCATGCGGTATGGCGAATGTCACAAGTTGACAACAATGTAATAATAAATAACTTATTTCACAAGTTGATAAAAGTGTAATGATAAATAACTTATTTACGGCTGACAAAATCCAAGTCAATTTGAATAGTTCATTTAGTAATTTGATTTAAATGTGATTATGAGTAACAATTTAAATTTAAAACGATCCAAATTTAAATGATTTAATTTGAGTTGATGGAATTTAAATAATTTAAAATCGAATAATTTGAATATCGAACTTGAACGATTAAAATTCGAAATGATCTAAATTACAAAATAATTTTCCTTGCTTTGAAAAGACGTATTTGCCCACTTGTTCTAGTGACAAATGAACAAGGTAAAATCAACTCAAACTAGGCGAAAAGGTGGGAACTTAACAGGTCAATTTGAAGTCCAACAACTTGAGTATTCGTTCAAGACCCTAGTCATTTTCAGCTAAAGGAAGACAATTTGTAACCATTACATTAATAATATTTTAATTTAATAGAAATACTATTCCCACGGAAACGCGCCCATGGCCTAATGGATAAGGCGTCTGACTTCTAATCAGGCGATTGTGGGTTCGAGTCCCACTGGGCGTGTTGAGATTCTTTTTTGTTTCGACTAAAAACCTGGAATCTCTTTTTTTTTAAAAAAAAAAACCTGGATTCCTTAATTAAAAATTTAAAAAATCATAAATATTGTGCAATTTGAAAAAGCAGAAGCTTATTAAGTGCTCTTTAAAATCCTTTTTTTTTCCAAATAAAAGAAAAAGGCCTAAAAATAACCGATTGCCAAAAGTTGCACAGGTGTTTTTTCCCTTTTTATTTTTTTTAATTAAAGAAAAAGAGGGATTTAAACTTTCTTTCCTTTTTTTTTTGGCAAATAGTCAAATATTCAAACACAAAATGAGAGTTATTTATGATGAAACTTTGCTAGGCTTTGTTTTAATAGTTAGAAGGATGTTTTGTAGTCTTTCGGTTCAAGGTTCAAGTTTCTTTTTTTTATAATTAGGAGAAAAGAGATTCAAATCTTGTTCTTTAAAGAAGAAGATTATATACTAATTAATGGGCCGAATGCTTAAGTGCGGGTTTAAGGTTCAAGTTTATCATTATATGTTTTGTTGATTTCTTTGATTTTTTTCATTAATTTTATCTTGAATGTAATAGTTATGTTATATATATTAATAGTTTTTTTTTTTAAAATACATAAAAGATAAAGTACAATTTTCTTTTTTTTTTTTCCTCTCCCTAACTTCATCTTCTTCTCTTCTTTTTCTTCCATTAAGAGCATATTTAACAAAATTGTGCAACTTCAATAATATTTAGATAATCAAGTTTTAAGGTAATTAACTTTTACTTGTTGGCTCTAATGATATATTCTTTAAGTAATTTTTACACTGAGTTTAAGATTACGATGCCATATAATTGTCTCTTTTCCAAGTAGAAGTTTTCGTATTGAAATTTAAGATTTGGGTCATTTGATATCCTCTTACAAATTACTTGCCCTTGTGACTAAAATTTATAAATTAATATTTATATTACCGAACTAGTTGGCTTGACTATTCAACAATATTATTTGCTTTGCTTATAGCCCAAAGTACAAAGTAAAAAAGGTTTCATGTTCAAGAATTTCCAGAATTAACAAATCTTAAGAAACGATACGAGCCACCAAAATGTAGACATCTGTTAGTTTAGCTATTCCTCTTCAGGCATTTTATTGACGTAAATGCAATGCTACAATTGACCAATAGCACAGATGTGAGATCGAGCACTTGTAATTCAATGGTGTGCAAATGCAACTCACAATCGAGAATAAAGGTGAAAAAATAATACCAAACCTGCTCTTAATGGACCAAGAAGAGTAGAAGAAGATGATGGAGTTGAAGGAAAGAAGGGTTGAGAGGGAGTTGAAGAGAGAAAATTTTGAATTTATCTTTAGGGTTTTTCTTAAAGAAAATTAGTAATATTTAGTTTATTTGATGCAAAATGCTGCCACCTAATGAGATAAAATTAAAATTCTTTAGAGACTTAAAATTAAATATTAAATTGTTTTAATGATTAATTAAATAAAAAATAAAATACTTTTACTTTTCTCTGGAAAATCCCATTCTCTTTCACATTTTTAGGGTCGTTTCTTTTCTTCCTCAGGTATCCAAAATAATTGCTATTAAACCCTAAGAAAGGGAAATTACTGAAACCCTTAACGTGAGATGGAGAAATTTGGTGGGGATTTTGGGCTTTTGTTGAAAGAATAGGAATGAAAATACGTAAAAATCACTTAAAAAATATATCACTAAAGTCCACAAGTAAAAATTACCTTGAAATATTTAATTATCAGTTGCACAATTTCACTAAGTCAAATTTTTGCCAAACATAATTTTAATGGAAGAAGAGGAAAAGAAGATGGAAAAGTTGGAGAGAGAAGAAAGAGGAGAGCAAGATTGTGACGGAGTAAGAGACAGAAAAAGAATTTTTTTATTTTTATTTAGTTTTTTAAAGAAAATTATTAATATTTAATTTTAAGTTTTTAAAAATTTTTAGTTTTACCTCATTAATGAGGTCATAACATTTAATAAGCTTATAATGTATAGTTTCTATACCCTATCAATACATTAAATATAAATTTATTAATTTTTATAATGATGTGACATTATTTGATGACATAACATTTTATAAAAAAAGCTATACAAAGTGTATCAAATATAAACTTGTGTTTTATTTTTTATTTTTTTTACTTTTTATATATAAAGAATAAAAAATAAATAGTAAAAATATGGAATAATCAAAGTCCAAGTAACTTGTAGGAAATCTTAGACTTAAGCTTTAGCTTAAATGGTTGGGTATTGGTAGATGAAATTTAATTTTCCTTAGAAGTACCAGTTAGATTTTCAAGAACAATTAAGGCTGAGTTAATCTCAAACCCAGTAATAAGCTGATAAAATAATAGTTTTTCTAATTTGGGTGTTTTACCTTTGTTTGGTTTCAAAATTTCTTGAAACATAACCCTAAATCCTAAATTCTAAACTCAAATCAATAAAAAAAATTTTTTTTGAAAAATTTCCAATGAGATGTATTTATTTGTTGCTTTAAATTCTTTAATTTTGTACAACTTGGTGTTATTCCCATGTTATTTATATAACACGTAATTAGAAAATGATAAAAAAATAGAGAATAAATAAAAGTTCCTTAAAAAAGATGGAATTTTGTATGAAAATTGTAGTGGTAATTTTATAAATAAACCCTTAAGGTGAGATAACATTTTTGGGACTTCACCAAAATATTGAGAGAGGCTTAAAATTCCCCCAACATAAGGAACAATCAAATTCATAAAATAAAAAAAATGAAATTAAGAATAAATATAAAAAGTAAAAACAGTCCATGGCTATTTTTTTAATTTCAAAATAAACAAATTCATGGAGGAGAGAAGAGTCGAAAAGACGAAGAGCACGATGACCTTTTTGAAATTGTGATACCCTTGGACCCCCAGCCGGCTCACAAAACCAAAAAGGTAAATAACAACTTTGACTAAGAGTAGGACCAAGGACTACATGTTTACATACTATTTCTTAGAAAATAATTAATAAAAATTGTTTGTTCTGTTACATTTTATGTCTTTAATTTGGTCCATTCTTTCTGTCAAAAGCATATGGAAATTATTATGCTTCTTTTTAGACCCTTCATCATTAAATAGTCAACAAGGAAATTGCTAAGGAAATTACAATTAATATTATTATGGTATTAGGTAGGAGTGAGGCTTAGCTATAAGGTCTTGATCGTCTTGACCCAAATTTTATAATTTATAAAGTAGGAAAACTTGGCAACTGGCTATGATCAATGACTTCTCTGGCATAAAGATTCCATCCGTGCTAATAATTACTAGTTATTTCAACCTTCATCCAAGTTTCGCTCTTCCTGCCATCCTACTAAACCAGAAGATAATCCCTTTATGACGATTAAGGTCTTTTTTTGGACTACCTAATAGTCTAATACCTTCATCATTGAGCACTTCTTCACCTTCTAAAATTAAACTATGCTTTCATTTTTATCTGCCTTTTACAGTGTTTTGAGTAATCAGTCTTCTAACAATGGCCGTGAGGTTGAGGGGGGCTACTCAAGCTGGTGATACTAATGAATTATATAACTGTATTCGGGGTGATGCAAATGTTTTCAGGCTCATTGATGAGGCCGAGTTTGTTGATACTCCGTTGCACATAGCTGCAGCAAGAGGCCGTGCTGATTTTGCAACCACGATCATGTACTTAAAGCCATCACTTGCTCGGAAGCTGAACCAGGACATCTTTAGCCCCATGCACCTAGCCTTGCAAAATGACCACAAAGAAACAATGCTTTGTCTGCTGGCTGTTGACAAAGATCTTGTTCACGTCAAAGGGAGGGAAGGCTACACTCCTTTGCATCATGTTGCTAGAGAAGGAAACCTTGATCTTTTGGCTCAATTTCTTAAGGTTTGCCCTGCATGTGTAGAAGATGTGACCATTTGGAATGAGACTGCTTCACACGTTGCGGCCAAACATAACAGATTAGAAGCTTTAGAAATCCTAGCACGGTGGATTCAAAGGATCCATCTTTATAGCAAGAGTTCGAGAAAACACCTACTGAACTTAAAAGATAGAAACAATAACACTGTGTTGCACATCGTTGCTGCCAACACTCAAGCCTAGCTAGCATTAATCTCCTTTCATTGATTAAGTCATTTCTTAAATTTGGTTTATATGACAACATTACATAATTAGTCAATCAATTAATTTTGGTTTTTTTATGGATGTTAAGCAAACGATCAAAGTGTTATTAGAATGTGATGTTGACACCAAGGAGACTAATATGAGTGATTTGATAGCTTTGAATGTCCTAGAAAGCCAAAGCAGAAGTGACAACTGAGATAACAGTTTGACGATTCTACATGTTGAGAATCTAGTAATTCCAGATGGTGCAGTAGAAGAAGATGAATTGAGCGTTAAAATCAACTACTTGTTGAAGGAAGGAAGATGATGGAAAACGGTGTTGCTTTAGTTTTGGGTTAGAGATTTAGTGAAACTCATCAAGTATTGTCATTTTATTCTTTAGTTTTTGTTGGCTCAAACACTTTATGTTAGTGTCGTTTTATTGAGTGTTTGTAAAGCTGAAAGCCATGTTTTTTTATTTTCTGTTTTACTTTCCTCATAGTCGTTGAAGGCCATTGTAGTGCATAGAATTCCAAGTCTGAAATCCTATGTTTAGTTGGTTTTTTTCCTTAATTCTCATTTTCCCAATGCTGTTTTCGTTGCCTTGCTTTGTTATTACTTTTATATATATCAGAGAATGAAATGATGCTAGAGTTCTTTTCTCCAATTTCTTCATTCAAAAATTGCTTTTGTTTAGTTCTTTTATTCTTCAGCTTTATTTTCTGATGAAGTTTAGTTAAGCTTCATTAGAAACTTTTATATGGTATCAGAGCACTAAGGGTCTTAAGGGATCGATTGTGTCAGAGCACTAAGGGTCTTAAGGGATCGATTTTCGCTTGTTCTTCACTCTAATTTTTCTTTTGTTCTTCACTCTTGGTTGATTTCCAAACTTTTATTTTAGAGTTTGTGATTCATGGTTACCTTTGGATTTGGCACTACTACCCCTTCAATTTTTATTAGAGAAAATTATGTTTTCTGGTCAATGAAGATGTAGTCTTATCTCAAAGCTTTCTTTATTTGAGAGGTGGTAGAGATTGTACCAAAACTTGTACAAAGGCATGCTAATCCAACTTTGGCTCGGATAAGGCAGTTTAAAGAAGACAAGGCCAAAAGGTATAAAGCAATATCCTATTTACAATTTGCTGTATTTGATGATATATTTACTGGAATCATGCACTTAGATAGTCCTAAAGAGGTTTACGATCATTTAAAGGAGGAATTTCATGACAGTGACAAAACTAGGAAGTTCAAGCTTTCAATTTGATTAGGCAGTTTGAGATGTTGACCATGGATTATAGTGAGAACATCAGGGAGTTCTCTGAAAAAATGATGGGGATAGTAAATCAACTGAGGCTGCTTGATAAGGAGATGAATGAGGAAAAACTTGTTAGTAAAATGTTGGTAGGTTTGCTTGAAAAGTATAAGTCCAAAATCTCCTCCTTAGAGGATTTTAGAAATCTTGGTCATATGACTTTAAAGAAGTTGGTGAATGCATTAGAGGGTTTGGAGCAGAGGAGAGCTTTTAGGCAAAAAGGCATCACTGAAAGTGCCTTAGTTGCCAAAACTAAGAATTAGAAGGCTAGTAGTGATAGTTTTAGGAGAAATGAAGTTGAAAAAAGGGATATGAGTAAGAAAACTGATGGGAAAAGACATGGGGAACAAAAGAAAACATTTCCACCATGTTCTCATTGCAAAAAAAAAAAAAGTCATACAGAGAAGTTTTGCTGGTTTAAACCAAATGTCAAGTGCAGAAGGTGTCACTAGTAAGGACAAGTGTAAAAGGTTTGCAAAAGGAAAGATAAGATTGCTGATGAGAAAGCTGTTGTGGTTGAAAAGCTTCAGTTGAAGATGAGGTTCTTTTTATGGCTAAAAATACAAACAATGAAGAAAGGAATGACATTTGGCTTCTCAACAGTGGCTGCTTAAACCATCTCACTGGATCCAAAGATAACTTTATTGATCTAGACTTTAGTTTTAGGATAAGAACAGAGGTTGGAAATGGAGATTTTCTTTTGATTTTTGGAGGAGGAATTGTTGGTGTCCAAGACTTCTACAAGGGAGAAATTAATATACCATGTTTACTTTGCTTGAGATGTTAGCTAAAATTTGTTAAGTGTAGGACAATTGGTCAATGATAACTATATGCTTGTTTTCAAAGATAGGGCTTGCATAGTTAGTGATTCTATTGGTAATGAGTTGTTTATAGTAGGCATGAGAAATAGGTGCTTTCCTTTAAATTAGATAAAGCTTAAGCATACTGTTTACAAGGCTATTTTAGTTGACATTGATCTTTAACATAGGAGGTATGGCCATGTCAATAATGCTTATTTGAGAGTAATGGCATTACATAACATTGTTGTTGGGTTTCCTAGAATTACAAAATTTGATAGAGTTTGCAGTACTTGTCAATTTAGGAAACAAAGAATGGTTGCATTTCCTAAAACTAGAACTTGAAAAGCAACTCATAAGCTTGAGTTAGTACATTCTGACATAGGAGGTCCTATGAAAACTATGTCTTTGAATGGAAGTAGATTTTACTTGTTGTTCATTGATGATGTGACAAGATTTATTTGGATTTATTTCCTAAAAATGAATTCTAAAACTTTAAATGTCTTTATCAATTTAAAGCTTTAGTGGAAAACCAGGCAAGCGAAACTATTAAGAAACTTAGAAGTGATAATGGCACTGAATTTGCTACAGCAAAATTTAAGTCTTACTTTAGTCAACTTGGTATTGTACATCAACTTACTATGACCTATAACCCTAAGCAAAATGGAATCTCAAAAAGAAAGAACAGAACAATTATGGAGATGGCTCGATGTTTGTTGTTTGAGATGAATCTACCAAAGTATCTATAGGCAGGGGTAGCTAACACTATTAATTATCTTCTCAACATATCATAAACCAGAGCTCTTCCTAATATAACTCCATATGAAGCTTGGTTCAATATCAAACCTTCAATCAGTCATCTTAGGTTGTTTAGTTGCATTTGTTACTCTAAAATTCCTAATGCTAAAAGAAGCAATCTTGATGAAAAGTCCTTTATAGTAGCCTATCTTGGTTACAGCCAAATTTCCAAAGGATACAAGTGCTTGATATGAAGACAAAAAGGGTATTTGTTAGTAGGGATGTGAGGTTTGATGAAACAGTAAAATGGAATTGGGAAACACAGAAGATTGAAAGCAACAGGGATAGAGATATTACTGATGATGTTTTGGATGAGTTTGAGTTAGAAAATGAAGTTGATGAGAATATTGATGAGGTTCTTGTTAAAGGAACAAGGTCACTTCAGGACATATATAACAAATGTCACGTAGCCATCACTAAATCGAGTTGTTATCGAAAAGCTACAGCACATGTGAATTGGAAGCAAGCAATGGAGGCTGAAATGATGATGATTAAGAAGAATAACACCTAGATTTTGGTTGACAGACTAGAGCACCAAAAAGTTATTAGTGTTAAGTGGATATATAGTACTGAGCTTAACTTTAATGGCATAATTAAGAAGCACAAAGCCATATTGGTGGTCAAAGGTTTCTCACAAGTTTATGGTGTTGATTTTTTTGAAACTTTTGCACCAGTAGCCAAACATGATACTACTAGGCTATTGGTTGCACTAGCTACAAATGAAGGATGGTCAATTTGGCATTTGGACATTAAGTTAGCATTTCTTAATGAAACAATTGATGAAGATATTTTTGTGGAACAACCTAAAGGCTATGTTGAACCAATCATGGAGAACAAAGTTTGTAAACTGGTAAAAGTCTTTTATAGACTCAAATAGGCTCTAAGGGTATGGTATGAAAGAATGGATGCCTATCTACAAAGCTTGGAGTTTATAAGGAGAATTAGTGAGTATACTTTATGTGTGAGGGGAACAGGTAATGAGATTCAGCTTATTATATCTCTTTATGTGGATGATATGCTTATCACAGGTCCTAGTGGTAAGTTTGTGGATGACTCTAAAGCTAAAATGCAAATTGAAATTCAAAATGAGTGATTGAGGGAAGATGTCTTATTTTCTTAATATAGAGATTGAACAATGTCCTAACTTTATTCTACTGCATCAAAAGAAATATGCCTCTGATTTGTTGAAAAGGTTTAAAATGAAGAATTGTAAGGTAATGGCAACTCCTTTGGCTGTCGGTACTAAACTAAGCAAGGATGATGGTGGAGCTGAAGCTAATGAAACTTACTTCAGAAACTGATAGGGAGCTTATTATACTTATCTTCCATAAGGCCAAATATCATGTATGCTTCCAGCTTATTTTCTAGGTTCATGCACAAGCCATCTGAAATTCATTTATGTGTTGCTAAAAGAGTTCTATGTCAAAGGAACTCTAAGTTTTGGCTTGAAATTTTGTAAGAATGAAAAATCAGAAGCTTCACAACTTTTGAGACAATGATTGGCGTGGAAGTTTAGAGGACTCAAAAAGCACTTATAGGTACTATTTTTCATTTGGTAGTGTTGTGTTTGCTTGGAACTCTAAGAAACAAGATATAGTGGCACAATCCTCAGCTGAAGTAGAGTTTGTTGCAATAGCCTTAGCTACAAACTAGGCTATCTAGCAAAGAAAGATTCTTTAACATTTAATGCTTAACGATGAAGAACCAATGACACTTTGGATTGAAAATAAGTTTGCAATTTCAATGGCTAAACATCCAGTTGATCATGGTAGAACCAAACACTTAAGGATCAAGTTTCATGTTATTGAAAAAACTATTAGAAATGATGAAGTGTTTGTAGAATATTGTCCTACAAAGGAGTAATTAACGGATATTTTTACTAAAGGATTGACTAATGATTAGTTCAAGTTCTTGAGAGATAAACTTGGAGTTTACTCATCTGGAATCAAGGAGGTGTGTTGAGAATCTAGTGATTCTAGATGGTGTAGTAGAAAATGATGAATTGAGTGCTAAAATCAACTACTTGTTGAAGGAAGGAAGAAGATGGAAGAAGGTGTCACTTTAGTTTTAGGTTAAAGATTTTGTGAAACTTATCAAGTATTGTCATTTTGTTCTTTAGTTTTTGTTGGCTTAAACACCTTATACTAGTGTCGGTTTATTGAGTTTTTGTAAGGCTGAAAAGCCACGTCTTTTTATTGTTTGATTTACTCTCCTTTTAGCCATTGAAGGCCATTGTAGTGCATAGGATTCAAATTCTGAAATCCTGTGCTTAGTTGGTTTTTCTCGTTTATTCTTGTTTTCCCAATGCCAATTTCTTTGGCTTGGTTGCTTCTTGTTCTTACATATACTAGAGAATGAAAATGATACTAGAGTTCTTTTCTCTAATTTCTTTCATTCAAAAATTTCTTATGTTTAATTCCTTTATTCTTTAACTCTATTTTCTGATGAATTTTAGTTAAGCTTCATTAGATACTTTTACACTACATTATTATGATCAATGATATTTGAAGCGTTTGGAAGCTTTCTTAATTCACAGAGATCTCCTAATTTCCAAAGCTGATCCCTTACAAGAAAGGTTAAGATCTAGGATCATAGTTCTAGAGCGAACAACAATGCAAATGGTGGGTTGCATCTTGAATATGTCAATTGAGAGGATCAATGCATTGCTCGTAGTGTTAGCACTAGTTCTGATGGCCACCTATCAAGCGATGCTTAGTTCGCCTAGTGGAGTTTGGCAAGGTGACATTTTAGGAAATGTTACAGTCGATTCCATAGCCAAGGTGGGAACATCCATCTTAGATGATTCTCCTTTTACCATGTTCTTTAGACTAAACTTTTTAGTGTTTGTTTGCACATCATTTTTCATGGTTGGCCTCCTCCAAATCGCAACTAGTAATAGTAGTATCATGATTCTTGTTGAGTTACTATTGTCATTCCTAATCTCTTCCCTCTTCATTCCCTACTATATCATTTCACCAATTGATCTACGTAATCAAGTAACTATAGTTGGTGAATTTGGGTGAACTAATGCATTTTTGCCCTTATTGCTCTTTCTTCCCACTCCATTGATCATGGAATTTGGCAAAAGGTTGCCTTTTCTCTTAACTCCTTACATATGATTTTTTATAAGATTTTACCATGAAATGTAATACTTCCAAATTTGAAACAGTTCTTTTTATTGTTTGGTAAATGTGTAATTATTCTTCTTACGCTGAAAAAAGGCCTTTTCAAGGGCTCAATTAATCTAATAATAAATTAACAAATATAAATTGTACTTGTGCATTTAACTTAATGTTCATACTTAGTTATGCATGTGCCCAAGTTGTGATAGGTGCAAGAACGTATATGTGCAAGGCTCACTAGAGCCAAGCAAGTGTTATAAAAAAATAGACATAAACAAACCACATAACATTTCATAGTGAGTAAGCATCTCAACATATATATATATATATATATATATATTACTATGATATTCATTGTCATAGTATTTCATCAACAATTTTTTTTTTCACATCCAACATTGACATTCCAATGCACATTCCATATGCTCTCCATTCACAAAATGTAAGATCACATTACAAGTATTTATGTCACATGCCAAACCCTTGGCTATAATTTAGTGTGCCCATACTACATGTTCAAAGTATAAAACAACACAATAGCATAATGGACTCGAGAATATCTAATGGCATCTATCAAATGCCTTTAGTAGAAACCTATTAATAACTCTATGTTATAGATTATTTTGTCACTTTTAAGCATTAAAAACGGCTAAGTCTTTGAGTTTTGATATGAATTAGTCTCGTTTTCGAAATATATTTTAAATTTCGTTTTAAGTTCTTAAGTAGTATGCTTTTAGTTAATTCTAGGTTGATTAGATCTCTTTTAATTAGAATAAGAATGTGCTTTTATTGTTTTTGAAAGTGCTCATTCTAAGGAGTTCAAATTAGTGAAAGAAAGCTACTCTTGGATTTAAGGTAGAACATTGGGTGTTGTTGCAGCTTTGGATGATTGGATGTCGTGGTGCTGTGAAAGAAAGAGTCCATGGAGCCAAACAAAATGTTAGGCATCATAGCATCGAAGGATGGAGCCCACAACACTGAAAAAGAAAAGTCGAAAGAAAAAAGAGGCAAAAAGCTTGATGCTGTGACGTTGGGGAAGTGAAGCTGTGATGTCGGCACAATAAGCCTTAATAAGAGCATATAATTTTTCGAAAGAAAAAGAGAGAAGAAAACAAGAAAAAAAACTCAAGCAAAGTATAATTATCAATAAAGACTTAAGTGTGGTGGTAAAGAACTTGACTTACTTGTTTGAGATCTTCTGTTCGAACCTCAATAAGAGCACATATTTTTTAAAAGTTAAAGTGCCACATGTTAGTCTCTTGATGCACCACATCAGCAACTTAGACCTGAAGTGTGAGTGCCATTGCCATGTCAGTGTGTCGAAGTGACATGGCATTACCACATTATCATGAGGTTGCTATGTCACCTTTTTATGTTGACATGGCATTACCATGTCAACACCTTAAACCTACTTCATATGCCATGTTAGCATCTGGTGTCATGTCAACGCTGACATCAACACTGTAATGATCAATTTAGACAAAAAATGTTAAAAGGACTAAATTGAAACAATTCTCAAAATCAAAAGACTAAAATGTTACGGCTTTGGATAGAGGAACCAAATTGAAGAAAATGCCCTAATGTAGATATTTTTCAGGTATTTTGACTTTTTTTTTCATCTAAGTTATTTTATATTTTTTTTTAACATTGAACTTCTAATATAATTGTTTTATAGAGATTATTTTTGCCTTTCAAACGCGAAATCCTGACTTCGCCATTGCTTTTTATTATTATTTTTTGAGATCTTGTCCACAAGCATTTTCTTCAAAATTTTCCTTTTTGTTTTCAATCACAACTTGTTTTCATCTTCACTAAAGGCTCGTCATCAGCAATATTTCATCCATTCAAGCACGAGCTTTTATGGTGTTCTCCCCAATCTCTTGAGGGAGAATAATATAGCAAAATGATAATTTAAGCATCTAAAGTACTTTTTTTTTTTAGGGTAGCAAGAGAAAGTTGTACAATAATGACAAGGGAAGCAAAAAGCCTTGCCAAATAAACAAATCCTTAACCCTAGCAACTATACCAAAACAAAACCAAAAGGGACGTTTTAAAAAATAACCTTAAAAAATAAGATATTTTCAAAAAGAGCTCTTTTTATAACTTAATTGTTTTTAGTCAAGTTGATCAAAATTACCTTTAATGAAACCTTCTCATATTTAAGTGCACATGATGTTATATGCCATATTGAAAAAATATTATTACACACAATGTAAAAAAATATATTATATGCTATGGTTAAAAGGGTTGTTACATGCCATGTTGAAAAAAACTATTATTGTTACACACCATGCACAAAAACATATTACAAGTTATGTTGAAAAAAAATGTTGTTGCTACACGTTATGTTAAAAAAATATTGTTATTACACGCCATGTTCAAAAAAATTTGGTTACATTTTAATACCTAAAATGTTGTTGTTACATGCAGATCAAAACTTCAAATTCTCTCAACTCTCTTCATTTCTTTTTGTTTTTTGATGATTTGGCACTGATTAAAGTCTTTCTAACATGCTTTCTTAAATCAAAACACAATTTGCCTTATCTAAAGCACCTGTTTCGGCTAAAAATAAAAAAAAATTTCCTTTAAAATCCTAAGTTTATAAATTTTAAATTCTTGAGTTTATTGATGTCTATGCCCTGAATTGATTCAATTAAAAACTATTTCAAACATCTATAATCATTTCTATCATTTTAGTTTTATCCAAAATACCTAAAAATCAAATTCCCCAAATGACCACCCACCGCAAGCGCATCAACCCATTGTTTGGTGTTTTGAAAGTGCAAGAGAGAAAAATCGAGAGTATAACAAATGGACGCTGAAGAGAAAAATCAATAAAATTAGATATAGCTGAATGGTGAGAGAGAGAAATCAGAAGTGTAGATGAATATGAGGAAATTGTGATAAACAGTTTAATTTATTTAAAAGGTTTTCATGGTATTTTTGTCAAGTCATGGTTAAATATGGTTAAAAATAGTTAATTTTATTTTAAGTGTTATTTTTGAAATCAAGTTATCAAAATGATCATTTCTCATAATTTTCTCAAATGAAAATAGTTCAATTATAGGACAGCAAGAAACAAGGGACAAAAAATCAAATTTACCAGGCAACTAGTGAGAAAAAACAACACCTTTCAATGTGCATGGCAATAAGGAGTCTAATGTAATTTAAATGTGAATATACACATGTACACATTCTATATGTGACATAAATATACATATTAGCTGAACCTTTCCCTATCTCTCTCTTTCGCCACACATTTCCTTGTTTAACTCTAAGAAACTAAACTTTCTTTTATCTACTCTCAAGAATCCTTATCAGTGAATCCTATGGCCATGGAAAGGTTGAGAATGGCTTATGAAGCAGGAGATATCGATGAATTGTTTAACAGTATTAAGGAACATGCAGATGTTTTGAGGCTCTATGATGATGCAGAATTTGCTAATGCTCCACTACACATAGCTTCAAAGAGGGGCCATGCTAATTTTGCAATAGCGATCATGTACTTAAAGCCGTCATTTGCTAGGAAGGTAAACCAAGGTGTCTTTAGCTCCATTCACCTTGCCTTGCAACAAGGGCACAAGTCGACTGTTCTTCGTCTCTTGGACTGTGACAAATATCTTGTTCACGTTAAAGAAAAACAGGGATACACTGCTTTTCACTACGTGGTTGAGATCAAGAACCTTGAACTTTTGGCTCAATTTCTCAAAGATTGTCCCGCATGCATCGAAGATGCAGCCATTCAAAAGATGATTGCTTTACATATTGCAACAAAAAAACATAGATTTGAAGCTCTTGAAATCCTTGTGCGATGGCTTGAAAGGACTCATCTGAACGATAAAGTTTCAAGAAAGCACCTATTGAATGCAAAAGATACAGATGGCAACACGATGTTACCTATAGCCGCTTCTCATATTCAACCTAAGTAACAAAATTTAACATCTCATTTTCGTTATCAACAATATTCTACATTATACATGTTAATAAATCTTGGCTTTAGTTGATATATTAGTTTAGATGATCGGGCTGTTATTAAACTGTCAGGTGGATACGAAGGCGATTGATTCAAAAAATTTGATTGGTTTAAACATCCTTGACCGCCCAAGGGATGGTGTAATTAAAGACAAAGAGATCAATTTGAAGATTCCACGTGATACGGAAGGTTCTACTAGTTTCAGTGCTTTATTCAAACCTAAACCTAAAGCTGAACCCTTACACGAGAAGCTTAGATCAAGGATCACATTTTCCGAGAAAGCAACAATTCGAGCATTTGGGCCAATCATGAGCATGATAGTTGAGAGTATGAATGCATTCCTAGTAGTGTTAGCATTGATTATAATAGCCATTTATAAATCCTTACTCAGTCCACCGAGCGGTGTTTGGCAAGGCAACGATCCCAATAACACTAGGGTTGGATGTGAATTCCTTTTCAAATTTCTTCGGGAGTCTCTTTTTTCTTTTATGGCTATTTTCACATTTTTTCTAACCATTGCCATACTCCAACTTGCTACTGGCAGTAGCATCATCACGATTCTGGCTGAAATACTAATGGCATTAGTAACTCGATCTTTCTTTTATGCGTGGTGGACTATAAGACCAGCTCATGATATATATGTATACAGCAAGGATCCAGATGAAGTAGGGCTCGCGATCGTGTTGATTACTGCAGTATGCATGGAAGCCAATAGAAAGTTCTTTATAATTTCCAACAGATTGTATTTGAACTATCGAATGTAAACGGAGATTGAACCGTGGAATGTACAAGGAAGATTCAATCACACACTAGCATGTTTTTTTATATTTTCATGTTCAATTATTATCTCTTGTGAGAATGCGCTTGACGCCAATTAAAGTCTATTACCCTTATAAATAGACCTGAGACTTTAAACCTTCGTTATATAGCTTTCACTTGATGTACCACCCAGAATAACAAACAGTTAATCCTATATAAACTAAACAAATAATTGGGCATTATTAATTAGTTTGAAATTTGGTATGCATGATTTACCTGAATAGAACATGAAATCTAACCATTGGATTAACATAATGTAAATTAAGATTGCAAAGAGATATGAAAATGTAAAAACTCAAATAATTTTATACTCATCCTTCTACCTGAAATAATTGCACTACTAAATTTCTGGCCCATATATTATTATTTTGAGATATTCTAAAATGAAAAAGGATCTATTTACTTAAGAGTTAAATTAAAAAGTTTTACACTTTTCCTTTAATGGTTGATTTTAATAAGGTCTGAGGTTTAGTATAACTACATATGGACCATTAGTTTAGTATAATTACATTAGACGGTTCAAATACAATCTTTTGAAAAGTTTAAAGAAGCATCTGCCAGCTTCCAGTTCCATGCTATATGTTTAGGTAATTACAGTCAAAGCTAACAAAGTAGAAAGCCAAGAGAATAAAAAACAGATATTGATAATACAAAAAGTAGAACCTATCACATGATGACACTATGCAGCTTTTGGGTTCCCCTTCTTCCGTACAACCTTCATTTTCTCCGCACTTGGACCATTCCATATAGAATATTAAAAAATTGCCCTTGTTTAACCTTTTTTTATATATTATAAAAATCTCAATATAACTATATATTATCCATTGATACATAGAGGATGATCCTTTGCGGCAACATTTGGCACCTCTGTTACGTCTAAAATGATGAAAGAAAACCTTGCGTTATCGCAACACTAAAAGAAAAAAAAAGGTTTGTGTTATGCCTAAAAAGCGAAGATAAAAATTAAAAAAAAAACAATTCTAACATTATTACTAATGAGACACATGTCAAGCAACTATATATGAAATTCCTTATGTTTATATATATTTATAAATCTGCTTTCATATTAAAATTAATATATTAGCAATTATTGGATCATAATTGTTTAACCAAAATTATGAATCATATAAACTCCATCAAAATATTATGTGAAACTTACCATTATAAGTAATGGATTTGTACGTAATTGTAAGTGATATTTTTCTTAAAAGAAGTGATAATAAACGTATTACAATAAATAGTTAACATAATTGAATTGTGGTAATAATAATTGTAGCTAATATAATTTTTAATCAAGAGGATGTTGGTGTTTGTGAAACAAAGCCAATGCTTTTGCGCAGATATTTGTTTGATTGGGTATTTGATTCAAAAGCTTTCTCTTCAAACCATTTAAATACCAAAATGCTAATTAAACAACAACGAAGAGAAAAGAGAACATTGGTCAATCAAGGCAAAGGCCTACCATTCTTTTGGTAGGACACATGCCATGCAAAGATGGAAAGAATTAACTTCTGTCGGTGCTTGCTTTGCCAAAAGCTACAAGTTTCTATGCACGAGATACACAAAACCAACGGGGCCCTCAGGATATCATGTTTTGCTTGCTTCTGTCTTTTTCTTTTCTTTTCAAAATTTTTGAAAACATAGAAGATGTTTCGTAAGTATTATTGTTGCATATTGAGAACAAATACTTCAAATTGTTGTAAATATAACAATTCCAAAATAAATAAATAAATTTATAATAATTAAATAAAATAATAATATATTTAATAATCAAAATTATATTATTTAAGTAATATAATTTAAATAATATTCAATAATATTATATATCAATAATTATTTAATCATATTAGATTTATTACCATTTATATAATACTATAATTAAATAAATTAGCAAATACGATTAAAAAATAATAAATATGTTAGCTTTATTAGCTTTAAAGTGATAATAGTTTTGAAATGACAAAATTGATTAAAATTGCTTAAATAATTTTTGAACTTTTTAAAATAAGTTTTAAACTTAAGTTATTCATGTTTAAAACACCCATATATTTGCTTTTGAAATAACTAAGTGTTTCTAAGTGAAAAAAAATTCTAAAACAAGATTTTTGTCAAAAATTAAGTTGTAGGGATCAATTCCTAGTCTTGAAGGATAGATCTCCAGTTCACAAAATGTGCAGGATTCTTGTGTTCATGTAGGGATTAAACCCCCACCATGGAACGATCGATCTTTAAGGTCCAGAACTAGACGTTAGACACAAAATTCAAAGAAAAAATGACTACTTTCTTCACCGAATATTTTCCAACAACTCCAAAACTCCTCTAAGTATAAAAAGGACCTCTTAAGCGCATTTTTTTTTAAGTTAAAAGAAGGGAGAAAAACATAAAATAATCAAGAATCAAATTATATGAAGAAAAAGAAAGAAAAACCAAGCTAAAGCAAGCAAATTGATTTCTTCCACCAAGCTTTTGAGATATCTTTGTGCTTAATATCCTTGTGCCTTCACTCTTATCGTTTGTATTCAATTTTTATCACTTTCATGCTCTTCCAACATTGTACTTACTTAGCAAACCCATTTCTAAGTCTTTGCTTTCATCTTGTAAAAGAGAGAAAATGGTTCTACCTTAGCTTTAAAAAAGTAGTGTTTAGAGGTTGTGCTATATCCTTAAAAAAGCAAGGTTGTGCTTAATCTTTAAAAACATATAGAGGTTCTAACTTATCATTGAAAAGTTAGGGAGGTTGTACCATATCTTTGAAAGGCAAGGTGCTTGGACCTTGAAAAAACATTGTATTGGTTATTTACCAATAGTGGATTAAACTCTTTATCTTGTTAAGTGAGAGGACGTAAGCACCAAGGAAGGACCGAACCTCTCTAAATCTCTTGTGTGATTTCTCTTTACTTTTTACTCTCTACATTTGAGCATTTTTGCTTTCCTTTGAAGAGGAACAAAACAAAGGAAAGAGCCTAGCAAAATGAAAGGCCCAACAAGGATGAAAAATAATGAGCTTTTGCCTAGTCCATTAAAGGTGAGTCTATCGAGCTCATTTTTGTTTTAAGTCAATTTCATTTTATAATAATTCATTAGTGCAGTTGACATGAAATTAATGAATTAAATGCATTTTACTCAAATTAAACCAATGATAGAATTTTTACTTGGAAGGTAAGGAATTTAATTATGACTTTACTTGTAACACCCTTAATTTTGATGTGAACTAATTTACTTAAGAGCATGCCTATGTGTATAGAAAACTATTGTGAAGTTTATGATAAGATGAATGTGATAAGTGTATGGAAGTATACATATTGATACTTAGGCAAATTTTCATGGAAATATGTGGTTAAATCCTATAGCTTGAGGATTTGATTTAATTTTGATGTTATATTTGAAGATATTTGTGTACAAATCATATGAAGTGTGACATTAACGAGAAATGATTTAGGGTATTAAGTTTGGATTTTTGAAAGTTTGAAAGGCTTAAATTGCCTACTGGGGCAAATGTATCGATGCATACCCTAATGTATCGATACATTCTTGACAAGATGAACAATAAAAAGTGAACAGAGGATTTTCTATCGATACATACAAGAATGTATTGATAGATTTGGAATTGTGATGAACATCAATTGATACATTGTCTAAATGTATCAATAGATTTGAAGCAGCAAGCACTAAGAGGGAAAAATTATCAATAGAATTCCTCACATATCGATACATGTTTGGCAGTGAGCATTTTGCCTAAAAACTATCAATACATTGCCCCATTGCATAGATAGATTTGGTCAAAATATGTGTAAATGTATCGATACATTGCTAATTGTATTGACACATCACTGAGGAAAGACAAAGATAAAAAAGGTTTCGAGCTGTTCGCCTATTTTAAAACAAAAACCTGACCCTTCCTTTTTCTCTACCCTTCAAAAATCTTAAGCCCCAAACAGACTTTTGGAGCAATTTGGAGCTAATTTGAGCTTGAAAAAATGTTGTTGAGGTAAGATTTCACCATTTTACTGATTGATTTTAATTTAATTTGTTAAATGTTGAGAAATTTCATTTTTCTAGCTTTGGTGAATCTTCTTCGATTTTGTTGGAATTTAGAACTTAGATTTGTGTAATTTAGTTTCTAAGGAATATGTTTAGCTCATTATTAAAGAATTTGAGCTCGAATGTTGGATTGCTATGAATTTAGTTATGTTTAGAAAAGCTAGCATTTTTTGAAAGCCAAGATTTAATTAATAAATCAATGTTTTGATGTGTTCTAAGCAGGAAACGGAGTTATTTGACTTGTTGGTCAGCTAGAGGATGATTGTAGGGTGAAGTTTAACTCGGCATGGGAGCAACACCAATTTGTCTCTATGAATGGGTTTAATTAAAATGCATATGATGCAGGACGCATGATAAATGTGCTACCATGGTACTAAAGTATATATATATATATATGTTTGTCTAGATTTATGTGCCTGGGCTAAAGAGCAAAAATGTGAAATGTATGTGCTTATGTGATGTGTTGTATGCCTTAGAGCTAGCCACATAGTGGCCCATGTTGTGTAAGCCTAGACTAAGAAGTCTAGAGGTTGTGAAGAAAGTCTAGGAGTAGACTACTTAAGACCAATGAACCTTTTGACAGATTATGAGAAATAATGTCGTAGAGACTTGATGGCAATTAGAACTATACCGAGCTTTTAGACAATCAAAGCTCATTAAATATGATTGATGATTTGATGTGGACACATATGGGATGTCAAAGGCATGATGGCCTTAATTGTCGATTGGTGATTCCATCTAATGGATGAATTTTGAACATTGATTCTACTTGAGGTTAAGTGGAGTCTAATGCCCCTATGACTT